ATTTCTAACTAGAATCGTAAAAGGAAACCTTCTGAAACTTTTACTGAACCATTGGGGGCAGGATTTTAGAAGCTTGTGGAAAATGAGGATACTGATTCAAATGTTGATAACAAGGTTGCTTTAGACATTGGAGAAAACAACATTATTGAAACTATACATCATGACTTTTCAGGAAAAAAAATCGGTAATTTTAATAATGAAATAAAATTATCAATATGTTGTATAAAGGTTTACAAGTTTATAAAAATATATTTTTATATTTTTTATAAAATTTATTACTCATTTGAATAAATAAAATAATTTAGTTTTGGTTTATGACATTTAAAAACTAAAATTTTGGAAAATATTTATAAAGTTGTTAAAACATAAATATTGATCAAATAATTTTTTTAATATAAATACGACAAAATTACAAATGAGAATGAATTTAATAATAAAATTAATATTATTATTTTACAAATACAATACAATAAAAAAATATATAACTATATAGTAGTTATAAATATATTATAACGAGCAATGTATAAAATTGAAAATCGCTAGAAGGAGGGGTTGAACCTCCGACCTTGTGGTTAACATCCACGCTCTAACCAACTGAGCTATTCCAGCTTCGTTGGTTCTAATACTTTGATGTCTTTATTTATATACATGACACATAACCACATTACACTGTAACATGGTTTGTGTATAGTGAACCTCAAATCAACAATTGAAGAAGATGCAACATGCTTAAATTCAATAATGGCTAAAAAGCTTTTCAATTTGAATCTTCCATATCGATCATTCTCCTCGACTCTCTACTCTTTCCTTCAACCATGTTTGTTTTCTTCCAATAAACCCTTTTTCGACGAACCCCAAAACCTCCCAATTTCTCCACCACACTCACTCTCCCTCACACCACACCAAACTCCAACCATGTAGACTATGGATGTTGACTGGACTTCCTTATTGTCATGCAATGTCTTGCATGAACGATCAACATTTAGAGATTGATGAATTTGTACCTGACTATTACAAGAAGGAACAATATGCGGCTTGCTATGCACGTGATATATCCACTTAATAGGGAAGCCTCGTGGGTAAAGACTAGTGTTATTGATCTTCAGCCACCACCAATAAAGAGGCATCCTAGAAGGCCAAAGAAAAAAAGGAATAGGGAAGCTGGAGAGATGGTGAGGGATGAGACACACATGAAGAGGGAAAGACATGGTATAAAGTGTAGTCGTTGTCACAAGGATGGTCACAACAAGGCCACTTGTAAACTACCACAACCACAAGAACCAACAAGTCAGCCATCATCACAGGCTAATTAAAGTCAGATACAAGATGCAACAAGTCAACAACCACCACAAGCTAATACAAGTCAACTACCACCACCTGTTGCAACAAGTCAGCCACCATCACAATCTGCTACAAATCAACCACCACCACCTGTTGTTACAAGTCAGCCCCCATCGCAATTTGTTACAAGTCAACCACCGCCACCTGTTGTTACAAGTCATCCACCACCCATAACTAAGAAAAAACTTCATAAGGGTGGCAAGCCTGTTTCAAGCCAACCATGATTAATATTATTATGCCTACTAAGATTTTGTAATGCCAATTAATGACCTGACTCTTTTGTTTTTGTTAATGCATATTTTGGAATTAAACCTGTTATGTAATTCCTTATAATGGCCTTTTGGTTTTGAACCTGTTATGTAATACCTTATAATGACCTTTTGGTTTTTGGACCTGTTATGTAATGCCTTATATGGCCTTTTGTTATTGAACCTGTTATGTACCAAATATTGAATATGTTAATGAATGTTGGAATGATTATTAAACTTGTTATGTACCAAATATTGAATTTGTTAATGAATGTTGGAATGGTTATTGAACTTGTTATGTATCAAACTTTGAATCTATTATTGAACCTATTATGTATCAAACTTTGAATCTGTTATTGAATTTTTTAATGAATGTTTGAACAAGTTATATTATAGTTTGTTTCCTGAAATATTGGTCATTGGGCTGCATATTTTACAGGTTGGATATTGAAACAACATATTAATACATTATTCATTAAACAAACTCATCAATTTGTCACAAACATAAGGTTCAACCCTAGAACTACCAACATAAAAACATAACTTTGAACTACTCTAAAACTAATTGAGATACATTATTACAAACACAAGGTTTAACCATAAACTTACAATCCTAACAACAATGGACATTTTGAGCCACGCTTTAGTGTACATAACTTCATTCTTCAATTTATTAATTTTCTTCTTTTGTCTTCCAAGCTTCACATCCTTGTCATTAACAAACTCATCACTCAACCACTTGAAGAAATTACAACCCTTTTCAATGTGGTTTCTGTAATTTCTACAACCCCAAAATTTTCTCCTCTTGTTGACACTGTTCACATCATTCACTGTTCTAAGAGCACTTTCATCTTGGAAAAAGCAATTGATCATATTGTTTCTACGAATCAAAGATCTAGATATACCATAGCTATGATTGTTTGAAGTTGAGGCGTTGCTTGCACTCTTTGACATTGCTTGAATCCTAATTCCTAAATTGCAGAAGAAAATAAAAGATGGTAGAAGGAAAATAGAAGAAAGGGATTTAACCCTGATTTAAAGATGAAGATGGAAGAGGTTGAAATATGGAACACGGTTGAAGAATGGTGAAAGAACAATGAAGCAACAAGAGTGAAATATGGAACCTTATGTAACGCAACATATACATATGCTGACGTGGAATCCTAAATTGGCTTACTTGACATGCCACCTCACACAAACTAACCTTTTTTAACACAAACTAACGGAAGGGACCAAAATGTTTAACGGGAATTTTAATTAAAAGATCATTAAGTAACATTTTTTAGTTCAGGGACCAAACCGAAACTTCGTTCAAAATTAAGGGACCCAATGGCTAATTATGTCTTTTTTGTATTAGCCTTTGCTACATATACTAGGGAACTTTTTCACTAATATGAACCTTGGAAAGGTTGGGGTTTCTTTTACCCGTGCTTTTGAATTTATAACTTTTCTTACAACTGAATTAATCATAAGAGAATGGTAAGATAATAATATGTTATTGTTGAAACAACATCTGAAGCAATGTGCAAATGGATATTTGATATAAGGTTTAAATTACAATGTTTAATTTGCATGTGGATATTTGATATTATGAGAAATTTTTTTCAATAGTGCCTCAACGCGAAATATACTCGGACTTAAGGAATGTTCGATATATAATACAAAACAGAGTCGTCACCGAACTTTATTTATTTTCAAAAAGAGAAATGTGAAATTTTGATAAAACCCACAAAAAACACAAGGAGACTGGTTGTCACAACCCGATCAAATTCGAAGTTGCTTTGAGCTATCGTGGTAGCTATCTCTAATAATAGAGGTTGCTTTGGGTTGTTAATGATATAAGGGAACTGCTAAACTGATACCTCTCCATTTGGTAGCTTGCAACTCAAAATAAAAAACCACCCAGAACAATGTCTCATTTAACTATAGCATCATAGAATACAATACTCCATGTTAGAAGTTTAATTGTTGAAAACATTATATAAGCAGTTCATTTGTTTATTTCAAATGCATAATCATTTAAATTATTCATTTATGAAATACCGATAGAAGAACAAGATAAAAATTAAGGAGTCAGAACATAGAATACAGTTTAGTTGATAAGAACCTTCTAACAAATGCCAATTGATTTTCATTAAGTAAAATTTAATTGTTCGCCTCAAATTTTTGAAAGTGTCTGTGTAAAAAGTTGAAATAAGTTTGTGAAATTTTATTAATAGGTTCTTTTAATCATAAATTAATCATGAAATATATGTAAGGAGACCTTTTTTACTATAGAATAATCTTAAAATTTTATGAGACTATATATTATAAGTCGTCTTGTATACTCTCAAACGACCCTGATACTTGACTTTAAACTTTTAATAAAATGTTGTGACAGATAACCAAAGTTAATTATAACTATCAAGTATTTAGCTATAGGATGAGTTCAAGGCTGATGATTCTTCTACGCTAATGAGCCCAAGAGAAATCTTTTGCAGAGGTAATCTCTAAATCAAAGAAAAAATTATTATAGAAGCAAGTCCTTCATATTTAATTATATGATATTCTATAAAGAGATGATTCTAAAAAGTCTTGTAAGCTTATTACATTTTTCTTTTTGATGATATATATTTTTTCCTCATGCATTGGGTTTTAGTTTGGTTTCCCAACTTATTATCTATTTTTGTCCTGTATTGTATTGCAGATTAGTTTGTTCATACTTCATGACTTATCAAGAAAAAAGTCTTAAATTTTAATAATGAGATAAAATTATCAATACGTTGTATAGAAATTTGCAAGCTTATAAAAATATTATTTATGTTTTTACAAAATTTATTACTCATTTGAATAAATTAAATAATTTAGTTTTGGTTTATCATATTTCAAAATTAAAAATTTTAAAAATACTTATAAAGTTGTTAAAACATAAATATTGATCAAATAATCTTTTAATATAAATATGACAAAATTACAAAAGAGTAGGAATTTAAATAAAATTAATATTATTATTTTAGAAATACAATACAAAAAAAATATAAAACTACATAGTAGTTATAAATATATTATAGAGTATTGCAGAAAATTCAATGTGGTTCCAAGAGTGGGTAAATGTGATGTATAGAGAGAAACGAGGGTTATAGAAGTAAGATAGCATGGAAAAAAATGAAAAAACGCTAGAAGGAGGGGTTAAACCTCCGACCTTGTGGTTAACACTAGAAGGAGGGGTTAAACCTCCGACCTTGTGGTTAACAGCCACACGCTCTAACCAACTGAGTTATTCCAGCTTCGTTGGATACAATGCTCTAATGTCATTATTTATATGAACGCGTAATGAAAGGCAAAATCACAGTTACAGACGCAATAGCGCAATGAGTGAAAGCAGCAATCGCAGAAAACGCAAGATGCTTGAATTCAATTGATGAATGAATAATGGCCAAAAAGCTTTTCAGTTTCAATCTTCCATATCGATCATTCTCCTCCACACCCGAAACTCCCACTCTCTACTCTTTCCTTCAACCATGTTTGTTTTCCATCAATAAACCCTTTTTCGACGAACCCCAAAACCTCCCAACTTCTCCACCACACTCACTCTCCCTCATACCACACCAACTTTCATCTCTTCTAACAACTCTCCACAAATCCCTCATCACTTCTCAAATCGATCAAGCTTGGAAATCCTTCAAAACCCTCACAACCCACCGTTCCTTCCCACCTAAACCCCTCACCAATTCCCTCCTCACCCACTTATCCTCCCTCAGTGACATTCACAATCTCAAAAGGGCTTTTGCATCTACAATCTATCTTATTGAGAAAAATCCTAACTTGCTTGATTTCGATACCATCCATACCATGCTTGTTTCCATGAAATCTGTCAACACTGCTGCCCCGGCTTTTGCAATGGTCAAAACAATGTTTAAAAATAGGTTTTTTATCCCTTTTAATTCGTGGGGTGGTGTGGTTATTGACATTGCCAGGAGCAATGATAACCTTGCTGCTTTTTTGCCTGTTTTTGAAGAGAATTGTAGGGTTGCTTTGGAGGAGAAGATGGAGTTCATGAAGCCGGATGTTGCTGCTTGCAATGCTGCTCTTGAAGCTTGCTGTTGTTGCCTTGAATCGATTACTGATGCTGAGAGAGTTGTTGGAATAATGTCGAATATTGCCTCTCAACCAAAGCATGAAGTTCTTTGAACTTTTCCTAAACTTGGTCTTTTGTTTTCAAGGTATATACCCATAGTTTCCTGTAGAAATCATCAACAAAGGTAACAAAATAAAGTTCACCACTAAAGGATTTTACATTTAATGGACCACAAACATCAGAATGTACCAATTGAAGCAACTTTGACTTCCTTGAGGGAGGATGTCTCTTGAAAGATGCTTTAGTCTGTCTACCAGCCATGCAATAAGAACACTTCTCCAATATGATTAAGTCTTCGGTGCCACAAAGATGCTTCCATGTCGATAGCATTCACACTGTCCCTAGCAACTAAAGCTTTTGTCCAATACAATTTAAAAAGCTTTTCCCCTCTAGCCACAACCAAGTTACCATTGTTGAGTTTCTACTTTCCATAACCAAAGTGATTATCATAACCACAATCGTCTAGCATATGCACAGATATCAAATTAAAGCGGACATCCGAAGCATGTTTGACATCTCTAAGCAAAAATTGCATCCCCGTGTTTGTTTACAAGCAAAAATCACCAACACCAATTACCTTAGATACACCATCATTACCCATCTTCAACACTCCAAAATCACCAGAAGATAAGATGTGAATAAATCTCTCGTCTGATACAAGATTAACAGACTCATGATCACGGAGAATACAAAGATCATCACTAGTAACAATAGTAACATGATCATCATCATGATTTTGATGGTCTCTTTATTTAAAATTACCCTTCTTACCTTTGTTATCTTTATTCCACTGATAGTAATACTTCTGTATGTGTCCTGTTTTGTAACAATAATGACACTCTAGAGTCTTGTATCGCGGCTTGGACTTGCTTTTGTTATTCTTTCTACCACCCTTCGGTTCCTTTTTATGACTTGTCCCCATATTTTCAGTGACAAGTACCTCGGGTTGAGATGAATAACCCTGTGTCTTCCTTCTCATCTCCTCATTAAGAATACCATCCTTAACTGTTTCCAAAGAAACAACACCTATAGGAGCAGAACTTATGATAGAAACCTGAAATGTCTCCCAAGACTCTAGTAAATATAGCAATAGAAATAGTCCCGAAATTTCATCATCAAATTTGATACTCATTCCTAACAACTGATCAAGGAGACCTTGAAATTCACTCAAGTAATCTGAAATAGACCCACCTTATACTTCAAACTTATGAAGCTAATCAACAAGAACAATTTATTATTCCCTAATTTAGAGGCATACAAGGACTCTATCTTCTCCCACAAAGTTTTTGCATGTGTCTCATTAGCATTATTATTATAAAGATTATTTTCTACATACTTTCGAATAAAACCACATACCTGTTGATGTTCAAACTCCCATTCTTCACCAGACACATAATCTAGCTTTGTGGAACTAAAAACCGGTAAATGAAATTTCTTCAGAAATGGCAAGTCTTTCATCTTGCCCTTCCATAAATTATAATTAGAACCATTCAACAATACCATATTCATTATTGTATTTGACTTAACCATTCAAACAAGTAAAACAACCCTTAACCAAGAGTTTTGATGCCACTCTGATAGGAAATTAAGACACAATAACAGACTAATACACAACGGATATAAAACTCCACAAACTTGTAGGAACTTTGAGGATCAGCAACAAATATAACACGACAAATCAAGAAATTAAGGCACAAAAGAACACCGATATTTTTAATGTGGAAAACCCCTTAATATAAGAGTAAAAACCACGAGTCATCCAGACCAAAAAAATAATTCCACTATAATTAATTAAGGATACAATAGAGTCTTAAAGGGATTCACAAACTAGTGCTAACAACTGCAAATCAAAAAAAAACTAGCTTACAAATAAGAATAAAAAAGCTGAAATTTTTTCCTCTAAATTTGCAGCTTCAGTGTGAAGCAAATAACTTTCACCTCAGATGTTGTTTTGAAATTCTGGACGGTCAAAAGTTAGATGTATATGTTACAAAACCTGCCCACCAAATTTAAGCTCGATTCAACAGTTAACGAATTAGGGATCGTCAATTTAGTGAGACTGGTTGCAGAAAAACGGGAATGAGTTTCTCTTTTCTTTTCTCCCTTTTGAATCCTTATTTTTTTCTCTATCTCTATCAACCCTAAATTGATCATCTTCGCTTAAATAAATGAGACAAATGGGATAATTATATTTGGGCCTTTCTCTACATAGGAAGGGAGCCCAAATCCAACAATTTCAAAACAAGATGTGCATGACTTATTTTTTGAGTTATCATCTATGAAGCCCAGACACGGACACATGACATGACATAGATACAAACATGGGGACTCCACTAATGTAAAAAAAAAAACACAAGGCACACACACTCACACAAACACACACAAACACACACACACACACACACACACACACACACACACACACACACACACACACACACACACATAAACACACACACACACACACACACACACACACACACACACACACACACACACACACACACTCACTCACTCACTCACACACACACACACACACACACACACTCACACACACACACATATGAGTGAGGATCAACTTACTCCAAGAGTAACTTTTTAACTTACTTCAAATCATAGCCTTTGAATTGAATTCAATCTAATGGTTAAATTAGCCAGTTACGTAGTTATCCATTAGATTAGATCCAATTCAAAAGCTATGATTTGGAGTAAGTTAAAAAAAAACTTACTCTTGGAGTAAGTTGACCCATTATATATATATATATCATATGAGAATGTCATCTTTATGTGAGAACATAAAAATGAATCTGAACCATTCGATTTTAAAAAAAAATGGTGGAGATTATTTGTCATTTTTGTTTTTCTCTCTCATCCAGTATTAAAATAAATGATGGAGGAGAGAGAAAAAAACTGACACATAATCTCCATCATTTATTTTAAATATAATGATTCAGATTCATTCTCATTTTTTACATAAAAATGTCATTCTCATATGATACGTTCTACATACATATATATGTGTGTGTGTGTGTGTGTGTGTGTGTGTGTGTGATTTACGAGCATGATTTATAAAGAGTTTTAAATGATAAACAAAATTTATGTTTATTAAAACTTAGTACTTTCAATAAAAAAATATAAATCCACCAAAACAAAATGATATAAATGATATCATAGTCACTCCATGTTGAGAAAACCAGTCTCTAAATCTGACTCATCCAAAGATAAGTTAGTAACTTCAAAAAATTCACTGTCATCTAATATGTATATAGTGGGGAGACGAAGAATAAATATCTAGAAAAATTTAGAAAAATTTAATAAACATTTACAATAGAAGGTGAAAAAGATGAAAAAACCTTGTGAAGACCGAAGCAGCGGTGTGCGGCAAAGATGAACAAAATTTGAGAAGATAAAAAAAAACCTTGTAGAGAGAGACAAAAGAGTAGAATATGAAAAAAAATAAAGAATCCTAGTTGTGTTGTTTTTATAGTATGGAAGTGGAATATGAAAGGTAAAAAAACTTTTTTTTTTTAATTCTGAAAACTTTTGTGTTAAAGTTTCTTTAAATTCATTTTTTGAGTTGAGTCGTGTCCTTTATTTGAAATAAATTGTCCTATTCGTTTCTGATGCGATTCAATTTTTTCATTGGACACTTCAAAAACGTGCCAAATAAGTGATGTACGTGTGGAATACGTGTATTCGTGTCTGACACGACGACACGCAACCTTGAAGATTCAAACATGTTACTTTTTACTCCTAACTCGACTAATTCCTCTCTAGGGAAGTATTTTCGTCAAGATAATGAATATTGTAAATATCATTTAACAATACCAACTTTTTGGAAAGGTATAATTATGGATGATTGTAGCGGTAGAAATTGTGAGTATAAGCTATTGATTAACTTAACTTATAAAGTAAGAGTCGCCACTACACTTTTATTTTATCCAAAGAAAAGGAAAAAGAGCAAACAAAACCTAAAGAAGTTTTTAAACAAGAACAAATAAACAAAGAGAGGGTAAGGGGGTTGGTTACACAAAAGGAATTTTTTAGCATCCAAAATGTCTATAGTACTCTATAGGAATCTCTTTGAGATATCTACACTTTTTGGTGTGAAAAATGGTTTTCTTGTAAATCATTGGGGAGGTGAGAAAAAAAATATTTTTTTATATAATTTTTGTGTTTTACAAGACTTCCTGAGCCCCGCGCCCACGTACCCACAAAGTGTAATGGAGGATCAAAATTTTGTAGTTTATGGTAAAAAAAATAGTGTGTTATGTTCATTTTAAATAAAAAGGAAAGTTGTCATTTTAAGAAGAATACTATAACTAATCATCCACAAGTAATGAGAACTTTTGCATCACAAGGAGAAGGGTTCTAACTTGGATAAAGATCAACAAGTATGCCACTAACTATCACAAGTGGAAAATAACGACCATCAATATTATGGGGATAGGAGAATTAATCTCAACTATGGAAATGACTCATTTCTAAAATTTATGAAAAGTTTTAAAGCAAAAAGTGCACAAAGGCACAAAATAATTTTAATGGGTTAAGTGTTTTTTTAAGTCTTTTGAAAATGGTCAAAGTATACTTAACATTTATTAGCATTTATTAAGAAAATGAAGTTTGAAAATGTACTTGACAAAGTCAAGGTTTATTATGAAAGAGGTTTTAGTTTGAAAGAAGAAAGTTTTAAAAAAGGGAAGAGACTTTGAAAATTTAAGAAGGGGGAAAGATGAAGTGACTATCTTAAAGCATAAAATAAAAGTTAGGGGCCAATAAATATCTAACCAAGAGAAGATAGCAAACCCATGACATAAGTCAATAAAAAATTCCATCATTTGGATTAAGCCTCAAGCAAGCCAAATAAGCAATAACAATCTAAGCATCGGATGAAATCAATAATAACCAGGATGAGTCTTCAAGAGAATCCTTAAGCCAAGGGTATCAGATGAATTCGCATAGGTCTTAAGATGTACTTCCAAGCAAAGACTAAGATCTTAATTCTAAGTCCAAACTTCACAATAATGCATAGGGTAGTAGCATCAATTCCATG